CAACTGGCAGACCACTAGTAAGTGGTCAGCTTTTCCTTTGTTAACAGAAGTTTGCCCCTTTGAATGAGGGCTGTCGGAGCCTTAACCTGGCCCCAACATATCCTAATGTAAACCCTGAAACTTAAAAGTTGCCTGTTCCATTCTTTACTCAGGTTAACTACTCAGATAAATCTGTTGCACTGAGAGAACTTTGTTTGCAATTATGATTTTTTAAAAAGAACATAAATATGACCTATATTTTTATAAAGCTCCTTGTTTAAAGTATTTTTCTTGCTATCAACACCAGTATACCTATCATAAGATATAGCCAAGATTAACCACTGATAATAGACAGAGAAATCTCCTCTATATGAATACACACATGTATGAGCATATGTACTATTTGTACACATTTAATAAAAAATACATGAAGTCTCCTTAGACTTAGTCTCACTCTGACCACATAGCAGATGGCTTTGTGCTATGTGTTGTAGGTCAGGGCTCCTCAGGGAAATCAGGAAAGCCAAAATTCAGAGTGGTATGCTGTGCCTCATTTGTTCATTGCTGCTAGCATAGTTCGAATTATCACTCTTTTCATGTTCCCTATTAAATGGATTTATCTATTATCTAGTTTAAGGTAAAATAACCTTTATAAAAAGATATGGCTTAACAAAGTTCCTGCAAAGAAACTGCAGTGATGATAACACTAATCCTGAAAGCAAAAGAAAATGTTGAACTCTCTGTCCGCTGCATTATGGGGTTAATGGAACAATGACAATCTAATCAGATTTGTCAAGAACACTAGAAAAAAAATAGTTGGAAATTATCAGGGGACATTTGAAACCTGAAATCACAGCTCCTAATGAAAAAGCTAAGCTTTTACCAAAAGGGCATATAGAATCCTGAGATCATCAGCCAGTGAAAGAACATCAAAAGTTTTTAATTGAGAAAGTATATAATCAAAAGATTTTGGATGCCCATGGCCTATTTTTTCTTCCAAACATACTTTTTATTTCTTTTTGATCGTGCTAATTGTAGAAAACTTAAAAATGCAAAAAAAAAATCATCAAGCATAAGGGAGAAAAAAAAATCACTATGTTCTTAACCACCACAAAATAAACATTAGCATTTAATGGAGATCCTCTTCCACCACTACTAGTTCATATAAAATGTCCTTCATAGAAAGAGGATGAGCCTACAGGATTAACATTTAGAGGACATCATGTTCCACTCTGGGTCCCACTGTCCAGCACCCAAGAAGATATGTCAGGAATGCAGCCATAATCCTGGTTTTGAACACCTGCCTAACAAATTTGGGGTACATTTTGCTTTACATGAGAGTATCCTCTGATCTCACCCCAGGTTATAATGTAGAAGACAAATATATTGTTGTTGTTGTTGAGTAAAAGGAGATGGGTACAGCATCTCACTATTCTAATTTTTAAATTAATAGAGCCATCTCAGACATCAGTAGTAAGGTTGAGGAGTCATGCTTAGATTCCCCCAGACAGCAGAGTAGCTGCCCTGTTCTGGTTTGTAGTAATCCTTAGGAATTTGGCGTATGTGCAGGAAATGCCTTTCATTAGGTCCTGCAACACGGAAGCTACCCTGGCTTAGGTCAGTTCTGACATGGCTCGTATTTCAGAAACCACTCTCAATTTCACATTCTGAAGCTTCTCTAGGAGTCTGTTCTTCATCCTACAGTGAAATATAGCTAGTATTGGAAATAATCTCATCACTATCAAAAATAACTTCCAACAATCTGACTCGAGGCAGAGTCTTTCTATAGGTGTGGCGGAATTTCCATTTCTAGCTAAGATTAGTTATAGCATTCCCCAGCTTTCTATCTCCCCCAACACAGGGAACAAGATCCTTTCAAAACTTGGATGTCATAGCCTACATCAGAGGATTAAAAGTCAAATCACTATTTGTATTTTGGTCATTTTATCAGATCCTTAGACTTCTTTACATTTGCTCTAGTGTATTACAAAGTTGCCCAAGTTACTGCCTTATTTTTTGGGAGGGAGGAAGGGAAATCTTCATACACAAGCTGAAGAATGCAAATCTTACAACTTAGTATCAAGCTTCTCTACTGTAACATACATCTAACATATAATTTTAAGGTATTTGACTTATGCTCATGTTTTAAAAGGATAATTTTCTGCATATGCTTTGGATTGCATTTCAGAAATGAGCTGGATTTGCCCAGAATCACTGTGGTCAAATATATCCTAGAGATGCTCCAGCTGTCCATGTCAAAATGAAGCTAACTGACTCATTCTGAAATTAAACTTGCAACCCTGATCTCAGCCATCCAATCAAGTAAAACTTAAACACTTGATCTTCATATAGTTTCCTTCCTCTTAAACACTTTTTCATATTGGTCTTAAATGACAGAACAGCAAGTAAGAACACACCAATAAAAATAATTTCCCCCAGGCATACACTTTTTCTCAGAGGGAAGATGGGTTGAGGATTATGGGAGTTCCTGGAGTCTATACCAAGTTTATTAAAAGTAACTTCTCTCTTATGTCTTTCCCCTTGGAGTTACTAAGAAATAATGACTTGTACCCTTCTTTCCTTTGTTCTTTCACCCTATCTTTATGAGGTCCATATATACCCTTTAGTGAATGCCAATATATTTTTCATAATTTTATTGAGAACCAAATAGCAATGAGACAGTTTCAAATCAAACTGGTAGGACAGTTTCAATAATTAACACATTGCATACTGTATTCCTAGTGGTTATTTGTTATACAAGATACACACATGATATCCTATTTACAAACACTATTAGAACAAATCCCTCTATTCCTTGAATTAAGAGAATGTAGCTATATATCTATCCTAACCATTTTGAATACACAGATAGAAAATGGTCATTCATCTGTGTCCCCCTTTTTTTGTATAGTACCATCATTTAAATATTATAGGTGTGTGAACTCAGCAAAATATTCCAAAATATTCCAGTAGTCCATAATAGTATTGGGTCTTCCGCTTCACTGGCAATGTCAGAAGTTGTTGACCTGAGTTCCCTACAGCTCAACATAACAACATGGCTTTACTTTTTATACTTTTCTTTTGGATGGTTAAGACCAAGATAAAGCAAGACCTATGTAACAAGAATTGTAGCTTTTGGATTTGATAAGGTCAGTCAAATCCCCTCAGGATTTATCCTGAGATCCTGTATCTCAGTTTATAGATCCTTTGTCAGTGTCAGCTATGTGGATGAGTCACGACCATTGCTTGGCCAATGTGCTCTCTGTGCAGCTGGAGAGAATGTTTTCTCTCCATGTTACTCTCCTTAGGCACACTGCACATCATCAATCACTTTCCTCTTTGGCCCCATAATCTCCTTGATTAGAAAATTTGGGACACAACTGAGTTACACAATGTTACAGTACAAGTTCTCATATGTCCTGAGTCTTAATTGACCTTGGAAGACTAGAATAATTAAAATGCCAATATAGTTTTCATTGGCACTTTAATTATTCTTCCAAAATATGTTTAACATTGCTTGAAATACTTTTGATTGTAGATTCAAAATAAATATGAATAACATCACATAATCATAAAATCAGCTAGAAAGATAAGATCTAGATTTATATTTATTTTTCCATAGTTCCAGAAACTATCCAGAAAGCACCTTCTAGAACATGAAATGTTTAAATGATAAATGTCTGAGGATTGGAGAGAAACATATATACAGATGTACTCATAAGAAAGTAAGGGATTGGAAGATGAACACCTTTAACATTGATTTTCTTTTAACATTTTATATTCTCAACAAAGATTTTTGGCCCTAGAATGAAAAAAAGGACAACTTTTGCTGTCATATTTCTCTGGTCCCAGAGTGGGTTAAGAGTAAGATATTGGAGTTTTTGACCTAAAAGAATTAATTTTTCCTTCCATCTAGTTCTACCAAAGTTTTCACAGATACAGTTGGAAAGATTGCATCCCAGAAATCCAAAAACTTCAATACCAAGGAGATAGTTAGACTGTAAAATTTTTAAAAAGAAAAGAAAAAGAAATGATAAGTAAAAGAATTGGTTTTCTATCCTACCATGCCAGTCAGGACCAAAGAAAAGACAGCATTTTTAGTGTAATAATTCAGTATCCCTGACTAGGAGAAAGTGCCACGTTTGTTGATATTCTTCATATTCCAGAAACTCTATTGGTCTGGATTTAGTTACTGTTTCACAGCAACAATAAAAGGAAGATATTATGTGAGGGAGATATTATTAACTACTGTCAAAAAGGCAACATAAATATACAAGAACATATGGTTCTGACCTTCAAAAACTGAACTGAAGAATCTGTGAGATAAACAAGCAAATGGCCTCAGAAAACTTACTTTCCTAACAAGTAGAGTTTGGTCTGAAATACAAGTCTTCTTCCTGCAACGCCTGACTTCTTGGCTATTGTGTGACTTCATCTCATGCCTGACTATGTGTATGAGCTCATGAGGCCACCTAATTTGAAGACTTTTCCATTCAATAAGCTATGAAATTCAATGATGCTGGTTCAGTCAGTTGCTAACTTTAATGGTCTTCTAGTAGCCAAAGAATCAAGTTAAGAGTCTATGAACAGTATCAAATAATTTTCAGTGAAGTAAACCACTGACGGAGAGTAAAATAAAGGGGCCCTACTTGGCAATGGGGGGGGAAAGGAAAAAAAAATCATGACCAGGACTAGATTCCTGGTACCATCATGTTGTGCTGTCCCCATCCCTGGGTGTGCTGAGCCCACAACTGAGTCCAGTGTAGTAGTGCACGCCTATAATCCCTGAGCTGGAGAGGCTGAAAACAGGAGGATCACTATGAGTCCAAGCTGCATGGTAAGACCCTGTACCAAATATATATAATATGAATTGTGTGAGTCCTAAAAATTCAAAGCATAATCCATTCTTGTTCCTTTAGGCTACTACCTGACAATGAAGTGTGGCAGTACTCTTGCTTGGGAGGTACTATCTCTGACAGTGCCCATCCCCACGTCTTCTGCTGCTTTTCCTTCCCTCATACCTCAATGGTGTATTGCTCAAAGATGCGCAACTGCAGGAAGATGTCCAGCTTGATCTTACGCTCATGGAACAGCTCCTCCATCTGCACCTGGGCATCATCCAGCTGTTGTAGGACTGATTCGATGTGGCTGATGGAGCTACTGTGTGGCGTTTTGTTGTTGGACACAGCTGAGTCCCTGTGGCAGAGTGGGTGGGGGGGAGAAGAAGAAAAGGAGAGGTCTTGCCATGTTGACAGTGACAGAGGAGAAGAGGGATCTTTCCTCATCCAAGCAAGGTGGATGTGAATCAGGTGAGTCATTTATCCAACAGAAATTTATCAAACTCCTAATGTGAGTCTGTCACTATCTGTTTCGCAGGGGAACCAAAAACATATGCATTCTTTTTTGGGTTCACAATGATTATTTCCAAAACTAACTGGTTCACTGTTCCTAGAAAAAACTGCAAAAGGGATAAAATGAAATAAGTTATGGTAAACAGTTCTAGAAGAACAAAATAGGTGAATGGAATGGTTTCATACACATGCATAGTCTAAGATATATGGCTTTAATGTACATGCATACATACATCACAACACAAAAGGGACACAAATTAAAGGCATATGAAAAACAAAAACCTTCCTAGTTTTACCTCAAAGACTTAAAATAAGATGATATAATGTCTGCAGAAATTATTCATCTACTTTAAAATGTTATGCTAAAGTTGTGGGTTGGTATTCTTAAAAATCCTTTAAAATGTAGTTTTGAAAGCATGGGATCTGGAATCTGCAAAGCTGGATTATATCCTCACTCTTGACATGTATAGGCAGTGGCCCTAGGATTTCACTCCTGAACCCCAAATGCCTTATTTGCCATGTGACTTTAATAGCAAATACCCTGTTCACCTTATAGTGTGCTATTAAGACAGTGCATGTGAACTGTGACCAGGAGTGTAATGCTTCAGTATTTATTAATCACTTCACTTGACAGAAGTGAAGTCTCAAGTGCAGTTGGAGTACAGGCTCAAACTTGAAGAAGTTATAAGGGTCCATTACAGTCAACAAAGGTTTCATAGAAGATGATATTATTTAGATCTAAAATGTCCCCCCCTCCAAAAAAAATTTTCATGAGTTTTAGTGGTAGGCTTTCAGGAAGTGACTGGATTATGACAGCTCTAACTTCATCAGTGGATTAATCCATTGATGAGATCATAATTTGAAAGCATTATTAGGTGGTGATGGAATAGCAAGAAGAGTTTAGCAGGGTTTAGGTCATGGGGCATTACCTTAGGGACTATATCTAGTCCCTATTCCCTTCCTTTAGGTTCTTTCCCTGTCTCTCTGCTTCTTGGCTGCCATGAAGTAAGCAGGTTTCCCTACCACATCTGTCTTCCATAATGTTTCTGCCTTGGCACAGGGCTAAAAGCAATGGAAGTGGCCAACAATGCACTATAACCTCTGAAACCATAAGCCAAAATAAAGCTTTGCTTCATTAAGTTGTCTGCTCAGTTATTTGATCAGAGCTACAAAAAGCTAACATAGGTGTGTATTGATTTTGAAGTTTAAAGAAATGGATAAATACAGTGAGGTAGATGAGAAGGGGGAATATTCTCTTAGCAGAGTATATTCTCTTAGCAGAGTATATATAAAAATAGTAGGGAGAGGTAATGTGTTGTAGAAAAGAACCAAGAAATAAAGATATTGACCTACTGAGAGAGATGAGCTGATGGTAGGCCTACCAAAAAGGCAAACTAGGAAATCAGGAAAACTATAGAACTTAAGTTCAAAGTCTATAAGGCCTGGAGTAAATTAGAGCCCTACAACTTGACATGAACTGGTACATTCACTATCCTGTGATTACCTTTATTTGTAATATAATTTACGAAGTCAGGAGGATAAATGAAAAACCAATGCTTTAGAAATCTTGTATTAACAGTTGCTTTGAAAGCCAGGTCCTTTGAGACTAGGCTTGACTCAAACAATGATACCTGAGCACATGATGTCTGGTCTTGAAGCTAGAATAAGGCCAGTTTGTCAAGTACGTCTCCTATAATTCAGAATGCCTAATATCCACTTCCTTATATGAACTGCTTTGGCATAAAAGTGGCAAGATTTCTAGCCCTCTGATCACATATTCTCAATTGTAAGAGATGTACTCATACTATAAATTCTGTACTCACTGACAGCTTTCCTCTGGGGGTGGGGTGGGGTCTGACTATTCTCTTACTGCTCCTTCCAGACTTGGTCATGCAGCTTCCGAAAGAAAGAGAACAATTTTCACCATGTTGTATAGGACCTACATCCATCATAATCACTAGGAACCCCAGAGATAATGAAAAACTACCTTCAGGACATCAGTGAAGAGTCAAAAGAACAGTGGAGATTTAGAGAAGATGTGTTTCTAGTGTGTATGTGAGCATTTCACCAATGTCCACTAAGTCCTGTGTGCTTACTTTCTTTTCACTAGCTTTGATATCAAGGAGGGAAGCCTAGGTTACAATCAGGCTAGTGGAGAAATGAATTCCACCAGTAGATCTGGGTCATACACCTATGTCACTCACTAAAAGTCATGGAACTTAAATTTGTGGAACACGTAACCCTCACTTCAACAACTCACATCACTGCCTTCATTATCACCTAGTAGCAATAAAGCCCTCAGTATTGTGCAAGGCTGGTAGTTGTTAAAGTATGGTACCTCACATCTCCATAGGCCCATGCTCACAGAGAAAAACGCCAGTCAACCTTGTAAAAAGTATTTGAAGAGCGACTACAAAGTCATCACAAAATTCTAGAGCTGACAGAGCTCCTAGAGTGAACTCTTTAATTACACAGAGGGTGCAGCAAAGGCCTAGAAAGGTCAAATGACTGCCCACTATTTGTAATTTTCTTTAGAAGCAAATAACGGCAGAATTTTCTAGGTAAGCAGACAAAGCTATCATGCATTATATATTCATGAAGATGAACTGGAAAAAAAGGTAAAAGCCTGTCTTGTTAGTATGCAACAGGAGGATTCAGAACACCTCATGTGCATGTTTAGAATAGAAATTATTAATTTCCAACAGAAAAATATGCCAGAGCCTTCTAAAGGCAATTTCTCTTTGTTTATTTAATTGGACAACTGATAAGGAGGGAAAAGAAATCCTCTCCAATTGAACAAATTCCCTCCGGCCCCAGCAATGGCCTGAGACTCATTGATGAAATTATTTCTGTCCACAGTTGGCAGAGGTCCCAGCACTCAGTGATTCCTAGGTAGGAAAGAATCCCTGAGGGCAGGCATCATTAGCGCCATCAAATCCTATTTACACAGCACCTGCCATGGGGCTGGTTGCTGAAGGCTTGCCCAAGGCCTTCTGACATTTCATCTGAGTAGCCAGTGCTCCTGACAAGGGCAGGGGCAGGATGCCAACAGAAAAAGGCAATGGGGTGGGGGTAATTTTTAAAAAGAGAAGGCTTTTGACAGGATTTTCTCTCTCTCTCTCTCTCTTTTTCAGAACTGGGGATTGAACTCAGACCCTTGTGCTTTCCAGGGAAGCGCTTATTCCACTGAGCCATCTCCCTGGCCCCCAGGATTTTCTCTTGAGTGTGTTTGAGTTATGTGTTTTTTGCTCTAGGTGTATGTACTTAGGTGACACAGAAAATTTGGGCTTTTTCCCCCCTTGGGCATCAAGGGATGTAGAAAGATCATAAGTGGATAACAGAACTGTTTAGAAGATTGCAAGCTCTCTACATCCTTAGGGGACCAAAGCCAATCCTCAACAAATGGGACCAGAGGACACTGGAGTTAGTTCATCCCACAATCAGATGCCAAAGAACAGTGAAAAATTTATTTTCTCCACATGGCCAAATATGCTATGGTTTTTAATGAATTAAGATGATTTTTACTGAGTTGATTTTTTTACATTTATTACTTGTTGGTTGCCAAATGCTATCTAAAGTAATAAATGATGCTTTTAATCACAAAGCTTTTCATTTACTATTTAATTCAAACTCAAGTTGCATGTGGTGTAGGCATTTATATGTTGACAGACGAAGAAAGTGAAGCTCACACAAGACCATAAAGCGGGCTGGGGCTGAGCAGAGACTGGGACATGACTTATCTCGTGTCCAGCCCAAGGCACTTCCCCTGGAAACCACTGCCCATGCTGACCTGGCCTCGGTGGGCTCCCCCAGGGAGGGAGGCGCTGACCTGAGCTGCTGGATAAGATCTTCGCCTTCCTTGATGACATTGAGTGTGGCATCCAGGGTGGCAGTCTGCTGCTGCTGGAACTGCTTGATCAGTTCCTGGACTGCATCCACAGAGTCTGCACAGACATCCTCCAACATCTCCTTCTGGAGGTCTTCCATCCATGTCCACAACTGTAGGGGAAAGAACATAGTCTCCACTCAGGGCAGTTGGAGATGCCAGGGCTGAGTGAAGATGAGAACGCTGGGCTGGAGTCTTTACATCTAACTTCACCAGTTAGTGCAGATCGGAGCAGCTTCATCAGCACACTAACAGTGTCTGTGTACAATGTGGATTGGGTTGTTTACAGGTTTATATTCTTACTATCCTCCCCCAGTTTACTTCATTAGTGTCAGTCTTCCCTAAGGACAGGGACTACCTATCATTCTGGGAAACTCACAGTTGTCTAAGAGCCAACAGATCCTGCACCTTTAAAAGACCAGGAAGAATAGAATGTAATGAGAAAATATTATCTTTAAATACAAAGAAAAACAAAAGTGATGCAAGCTTCCAGGAAGCTAAACAATGATTTTGGTAAAATTTTTGTGCTATTACAAATATGCAAAACAGAATGTTGCTTTATAAGCACCAAATGAAGATTAATATAATGCTATACTGAACCATTGTGTTATTTTCAGGATTGCTAAGTTGCTTAGAAAGTACAACACTAAAAACAAGGTTTATCTTAATTTCAATAAGAGTACAGGGCCAGGTATCATGACCCAGTTTATAGTCCCAGCTACTTGGGAGGCTGAGACACAATGATTACAAATTTAATGCCAGACTTGACAACGTAACATGACTCTGTCTAAAAAAAATTTTTTTTAAGTGTTGGAAAGTTATATATATATATATATATATATATATATATATATCATGATGAAGGTAGTCATTGTACACTAAAACCACATATCAATAAAAAGTCTTTTAAAAGGATTAGATATAGACAGTGATATCTCAGTTCCTGAATTTAGTTCTTTCCATGATTCTGGTTACAGGATTCATTACATGATTCTGGTTACAACTAAATGGCAACCACAATATATCTTAGGATAGTATGTTTCCAACCCTTTAAAAATGTTTTATTATTACATGTTTATAGTATATAATAACATTCATCATAGTGAGTTGGCATGTATAAGCAACACTTTTTCTAATCCTTTAAAAAACATTTTTTGGAGACAGAATTTTATGAAATTGTGTAGTCTGGCTGCTAACTGGAAAACTTGCATAGTCTATGCCTACAATTTGGTTGTAACCAGAAATGTGGAAAGAATTAAGTTTGTGAATAAAGGTACCACTGTAGCTCAGTGGTATAATACCTCTGAGTTTGATTCTCAGTCCATACACCAAAAAAGTATAAGGTATGTCCGTATGACACTCAAGATGATGAAATACTTTGAAATACATTGGTTATAGTACTTTAAAAGCTAAACATACTGTTTCAGACAGAATACAGGAGATGATGAGAGGCTGAACATATACTGAAAACTCATTACTGATAGCTCCTTTATGTAATGAAAGAAGGTTTCCAGTGGCCTGCAATAGGCTCCACTTTTGACTACTCCTATAGAGTAGCTTCATAAATGATGGAAAGGAAGATGAGCATGGTGTGTATTTTGAAAACTTTAGTTTTCTCCTGGCTGAAAGGAAAGCTAAAGATAAATAATAAAGATTATTCTGGAGGGGGGGGCGACAGTAGAAAGAGAAGATAGGAAAGTCAGAAGAGTGAAAAACTTCCAGCATGATTTTGAAACCAAGATATCCCAAGCCCAGAGCTTAACACCAGTTTGTAAGTAACTGTGACACCAAGCTAAAGTAATATTTAAAACCTGGACAGCTTGAACAGAAGGCCACTTGAAATCCCACATGAGCATGTGTACATTGTCACCACCTGTTGGGAGTAAATGTAAATGGTAAACTTATGATTTTGAATAAGCACCTCTGAAGCTTCATATGGTACCAAAAATAGGTGTTTTGTCTCATAAGTAAGCAGAACCAAACAATGATACATCACAGGATCAGTATCCCTTTCCTTAAGCTGTAACTTTTCTATTGTCTGACTTTCCTGTAGGTCTGCTCTGCAGATGCCCATCTGACTTAATCCTGATGAGCATGTTTAGCTTTGAAGAGTCCAGATTAGAGAGAAAACTCTACTAATTTCCATATTAGGAAGCTAATGACACCTAGTCGGAATAAGTTTCCACCTCAAACTTCCCTGAAGCCAACGATTGGTTACCAGAATTAATTAGATAAAATCATGGCAGAAACAACCTATATGTGTTTTTTCCATATAGTTCTCTATTTTGGCTTCTCCCCATCAAAGAATCCTCTCTACTCTCCACTTCTCTATAGCATACCAAGTAGGAAGTGTATATTCTTCACTTGTCTGTCATGCCCCAGAAGAAATCCTGTGTTCAGGCACTGCTTGACCAATTTTCTTCTGGGTCCCAGTGGACTTGAACTGAAGCTCAATCTTTCAGGGTCCTGTGCCCTACTTGGTAATGCCTACTTGGTAAATATTTTGTGCACGCTTTCTCTCAGAATACATATGGCTATGCTGCAAAACACTAACATACCAAAGAACTGTCCTAATTTGAGAATTTCTAAAAACTTAGCAGCATAGAATGCCCTACCTAAGCTTAGCCTGAGTAGTGAAATGTATCCAGAAGTCAGGAAGAGTCAGCCCACAGCCACTGTCCTGCCTGTATAGCAGGTAGCCCGAGCAAAGGGAATCTGAAGAAGAGCAAGAGGGAAGGGGATAAGCAATGAAGGGAGACAGTAGGAGTTCTGTAGATATAATGAGGTTTACGGATGAAGTTCAGCAAAGAAGTCATTTTACTTCATCATTTTCTCCTGCTCACTGGTGTTCCTTTAACTTGCTGGCTGTCACTGGGGTGGTATAACTGACTTACTCTTAAAGATGCTGTAAAGAGCACTATTTCTACATGGTAAACTCCCTTTCTCATTTTGAAGAGATTGTTTTTGTTTGGCATTGAACACTACTTTCATTTCTTACATAAATAACATGACAGTCTATCAACTGATATACAGGACGGAGTAGTTTTGAGGCTGTCATTGCTTTTGAAAACTTTGCTAGTTTTGGTTCTGGAGTAGGTAGGTAGGGAAATGTATGCATATATATATTTGTGGGGTGTGTGTGTGTGTGTGTGTGTGCGCGCGTGCGCGCGTGTGTGTGTGTGTGTGTGGGTGCGTGCATGCTTGTAAACTGGAAAATTTTATGGCAGAATGATTCCAAAGTGAGAAACAAACAAAAGCGGGCATTTAATTATCTAATTAAAAGCTGATGATGGGCCGGGGAGATAGCTCATTGGTCTAAGCACCTGCCTGGCAAGTGCGAAGATCTGGGTGTGATTCCTGTTACTGCATGCCATGCCGACTGCATGCCAAGCCAGCCATCAAAACTGGGTGTGGCAGTGCATGCCTATAATCCCAGTGCTGGGGAGGCTGAGACAGGAGGATCAGTATAAGTGAAGCTGTGCAGCAACACCCTGTACCAAATAAATCTTAACAACAACAACAAAAAAGGTCGATGATGGTTACTTTGGCAACAATCCTTAATTTGACTCTTACATTCTTTTTACAAAACTATCTACAAACAGATATTTTTTTAGATATAGGGACTGTAACATTTCCATGGAAACACAGTAAGGAAAAAGAATTCTGTCTGTACATGTGAGAGCAGATGACAAGTGCTACATACAAATGCCTTGTCCCTGGATAAAGAGAGTGAGGACCTGATCACCCCTTCTCCCCAACATCTTCTTAGCTCTCAGACCAATGAACAGCCAGTGGTTCTTTTGGACATAGGCAAAGAGGAGATATTTCAAGGCTTATCACAATCTGTGCTAACAGCTGATGGAAGCACAGAGCAGTCTGAATACATATCTCTTATCTCTCTTTTATCAAGTAGTTCTCTTAATTAGGAGTAAGAAATTTTGTTTTGGAGTAGCTGAAAATGTAGCGTATCAGCACAATACTTGCTTAGCAGGAGCAAGGCCCTGACTTCCAACCCAGCACCCTGAGAAAAGCACTTTTGATTCTGAAAGATAACATTAAGGATTGTTCCTGATTCTAAATTAAAAATATCATTGAAAAAAACTTGCAAAACATAAAAATATTTTTAATAGAATCCACAGTATTCTTAACTTAGTGCTACATTTAATTCTATTCTTTATGTGTGTGATCAAAATTGTGGTCATTGCTGAATATGTGATTTTATGTGTAGCATAGATCATTCATGTCATTAATGATATGGTGACTTCTAATGACTGTAATATTTCACTACTGAGATGCATTATCATTTGCTTATCAAATCACTCACTTTGGAACATTTAGATTGTCTCTATTCAAGATTATGAATAACACTGTGATGAAATGACTAGATGATTTCAACTCTTTCAACCTACAAGGTGGCAAGGAATTCACAAACCAGGGCCAATAGGATTAAGTGGACTCCTTAATTTGCAGAAGAAATGAGCCTGGAGGTTTTCTTTTTTCATATCTTCCTTCTGTTTCTTCTCTGGATTAGATTAAATCTTCTGATGTGGAAAGTGGGCAAAAATAAATTATGAACTTCAGCCTGAGGAGTCATAGAAAGTCTAGATTAAATAATTTATGAAAGTATTCACTTCTCACTCAGAAATCTCCTATAAAGGGGGATGTTATTCAATGAAAATTACATACTATGGTGATATTCTGTTTTTCCCTGGTACTAAGGCAAAAACTCAGCATATTATTACAGGAAAGAAGAAAAAGGTAAGTGAGGTGAAGAAGGAAGAGCCTCACCAAAGCTAGCTGGGAAGAATCCCTACCAATCTCCAGCAGCAAAGCTCAAGGCCACTTTACCAAAGCTCAGCAGATTTTCCTTCTCCTTACACCTCTATTCATTGTGAAAGGAAAATTGATCAGACTTGACTGCTAATACTGTTTTAAATAAAAATTCAGCAGGCTTCATATAAAGTGAAGAAGAGGAAAGAGTCCACATTAATGGCCCTACCATCAAACAGGATCCACACTTACTAAAGTTTGAAAAGTACAATGTCTTGAGAAATGTTAAGTAAAATATAGAAAAACCAAGCCCCAGGAGCTGTTGACTACAGCACTGAAAGATGCCCACTTCTGCTACTAATAATCCACTTCTGTCTGCTAAGCAAGTCCTAGGGAAAGTTTCTAATTGTGATTCAGATTCTCCACCCACACCCTTTATTTTCATTGTCCATGGAGTTGAAGCCAAAGAACTGGAATGGATGAAAGATGTGGTGGAATGAGCCTTTCCTTCCCCTCCTTTCCTCTCTCCTTTTATATTTTTCACATTAGGGATGTTAGAAAAGATGGGTAAAATTTCAGTTGATAAACTCTAATCTTATTTCCTGAATATTCCTCATTTGAAAACATATTTAATGAAGTCTAAGATTATCATGAAGATTACAGAGATGACATATGTTAATATCACATAAAGAAAAGACAGAAGAGACAAAAAGAAATGGATTTTGGGTTTATGGTAGAATTACCAGGGACCTTAGGGGCATCAAGATCAACTGTCTCATTTTGTCTATGAGGAACCCAAGGCTGGGATATAGTGACTCACATAAACTCAAAGGTGTTTTTTTTGGGCAGTATTTGGACTAGGATGCAGCATCTTAGCCACATGTATAGAAAATGGGACTCATAGCCAGAGAGGATTCCTGGAAGCTGGTGTCATCCTTTTGGGAGTAGTATTTTCACAGACAGAGACCTTGTTTACCACCCTCTACTCCCCACCCCACCAATGCCCCCAGCCCTCATGAACAACATGACTCCTGTTCATTCATGCTCATAATTAAAAAGGGATGCACATGCCTTTGGTTTCTGAGATCATTGTTAAGAATGGAGTGAGCCGAAAGCAAGCAGACAACCAGACAGGAAGCCCTGGATTAAAGTTAATCCCCTTGCTTTACAGACGCTCATCAGAGAGTGGCTGCAGGTCCCATGGAGAGGAAGCAGAGCCAGTTTCCAGGAGCTCACCAGGCCTTCATCTGCCTGGAGAATCTCAGTTTAGAAAAGACTATCTTTTCATGTTTTCCTCTGATAGGTGCCGCAATGATCTGTATCCATTCCTGCAAAGTGTCATAAAAGCCTGTAAAGTAGTAAACAGCCAGGCTTCTTAATGCATTCCCAATATAAAAAATAAACTTAATTAAGTAGGGTTAACTTTTTTTTCCAGACAGCAATCAAACTTTAATTAATTCTCTATTAAAATGAATTCCTGGGAGAACACAAGCATGCAGGCATGAACTGAATTCATCTGCCAAGGGTGTTACTGAGAAAGGTGCTAGGTGGGCCTCCTTCCTGGATATTTATCCAATTTTAGAGTGCCCCCTGTTAATTAGAATTGAAAAGCAATCAAAGGCTTGGCCCCCTCCTCCTTTCCAGAGGGCCCTTCTGCCCCACCAGACACTTAATGTAATCTGCCCTCCCCTCTGCTTCTGTTCAGTGAATGATTTTGTCTGAGATTTAAGCCCAGGTGGCTTCTTTTTGCATTGAAGGCGTCTCAGCCCTCCTTCCTTCACGGACTGTCACCTATGTCCAAACAAGGGGAGCACTAACTTTAATTCCTCTGCCTCAGAGCTCAAGAAGACTGAATCCCTTGTTTAAAAATCAATAAAGTAAAAATCACACAACACACTTAGGAACTCAGTATGCTCCTTGTTGGTAGCACAGGTCCCTGACTAAAATTCTGTGGAAGTAATTTCTGACCCTCAGGAGCAACCAGGAGAAATGGGGAGTGGTGTATGGTCCCTTATATTTCCTCTTGTAGCAATTATTTCTATACTAGGGAGCTCCAAATTTCCCCTGCTGCATACTAAATGCTCCAGCAGACCCCTGAAACTGGCTGTTTCCGAAGTTTCCGACTTCTCCAGAGATGAGGGGATGAAATTTTGCCCCCTTTCATAGAGTTCTAAACACAGGTTATCAGGAGAAAACTGTTAATTTCACAATATCTAGGAAGCCTAACTCCCAGACCCCCACAAACCTGGTTGGACCTCGTATCACTACCAGGAAGCCGCCCAATCTTCCCTTACCTCTTTGGTGTGTGTGTGGAAGGAGACGGACATGTCTAGGAGAAGCTTCCGCTGTTCCACTCTGCGCACAAAATCCTGGATGCGCACCTCCAGGTGTCGAGCTGCTTTGTAGATTTCTTCTGGGTCACATTCCCCCGTCTGAGCCAACTGCTCTGCTGCTTCTAGGAGTTTGTCTGCATTGGTGTACGTATTCTGCCAGCAACAACAATGAGGTAAAGTCAACTTGCAGTCAGGAAGCGAGCTTCGCGCCTTCCTGTAGCCCACTCTAGGGCTCCCCGAGCGAGCTGCAGTGGAGGGGCGGAGGGGCGGAGGCACAGAGCTGTCAGCTTTCTGATCTGGCACTGAGGTGCTGTGCAGGGATCTGGCTCTCCGCCTCGCAGCAGGCGAGCAGCCCGGCTGCTTGCACACATGGGTAGTAGTTAGGAGCTTCTTTTGCCTCTGGGATTTCTCAGTGGTGCAGCGCCCCTGGAAGGAGGCAGGAAGACCTGCCAGAACCTCCATGCCCCTTTGACTGTTTTCTTATTCCTCACCTCACAACGTCCCATCCTTGCCCTTGCATCTCAGGCTTGTAACTGCTGGAGTTGGAAATAGCATATCCACAATGACCGAGCTATGTCTGACAAGAACACCACAGAAACATTTAACTTGCTTGCTTTGCCTTTTCCCCAGGGCCCTGCAACTGCGGGTGTTTATCTTTCTTGGAACAGAACTATCTCTTAGGAGGAAAAGGGATAACAACTCTAAGCAGCTGAGAGGAGAAGGTAGCCACATCCAGGGAGTAGATGCAGGTTATTCCCCATTTCCAGTAAAGGTTGAATGTGTATAGGAAGCTGGGGGCTGAGGGAAGTCTGGTGATTTTGCTTATAATGCTATGTCATCACATGCACACCCATGTACACACACACACACACACACACACATACACCCTCACATCCTATCTGCACACATTGTATTCTCCAAGCCATTATAAAAGCCAACCAGCTTGCATTATTCCTTAGAAGTCAGGATACTAGTTATTACACAATAGCTATGTAAATAACTTTAAATTTTCCTCAGCAAGCTTATTTTTTTTAAAAAAATTATTTATTTTATTTATTTGTGTGTGTGTGTGTGTGTGTGTGTGTGTGGCCAGCTCAGCCCACCTGGGGGCGGGGCTGGCTGGCATGTGGTGCTGGGGGATTGAACTGTGGTCCATGTGCTTTGTTAAGCTTGTTCTAAGGTGCTTTAGACCACTGAGCCATCTCACCAGCCCAGCAAGCTTATTTTTTTAAAAAAAATCTCCCGACACATTCTGAAGTGGAACTGAGGACTGAGGTGTGCACATATTTCTCAGTGTCCCTCCACTCAGTACACTGCTCTATAGATTAGGAAATTGGTGCTCACTTTGGACAATGTGACTCTGGAAGCACAGGCTGTCAGTGTCACACAGGCAGTTAACAGGGAACTGATCAGGGTGTATGAACAATGGCTGTTAGGCATTGCTTTGCCCATGGAGATATGGCTTCTGCATCTTGTGAAATATTTTGGAATCAATTAAAAATCTGGATGTTATGAGATGAACTGTGTACACCTCACCATTCATGTTAAACTCTTGACTCCCAATATACTAGGATGTGGCCTTACTGGGAAATATGATCATTTCAGATGCAGTTAAGTTATACTAAAATCAAGTTATATGGAAGGAAGTGAGCCTCTCATCCAGTATGCTTGATGTCCTTATTAACGAACACTATGCAGAGACTGACACAGGAGAACACCACTCAAAGACAAAGGCACAGCCTGGGGATGTCCCCCAGAAGGCCCAAGACTGCCAGCAATATACCAGCAGCTGGGAGAAGAGCACAGAGATATTTCCCTCATACCCCTTGGAAAGAAGCAACACCTGCTCATACCTTGGTCTTAGGGTAGAAGACCTACAACTATTGAAAAATAAATTCCTGTTGTTTATGTCACATAGATCGTGGAGCTTTGCCATACAGCACCAGAAAACTAGTGCCCTGGGGTTGACCTTTCCAGAGGCTGCTGGCCTAGCCTCTAGGCTGTACAGATACTGAGTATGAAGCTGGGCAGGCCATCAACAAATGCTTGTCTTGGCTTTTAGGAATTCCCAGGGAAACCTAGAGGATCCTGAAGGAATGTTATCTGATAATCAACTGCCCAAGGCAAATACTGTCCTAATTCTGGTGAGATGGGGCTGAAAAGGAGGACAAATCATTTGGCTCCAACTGGCAAATTCATAGAAAAAAAAATGCAGCAGCCTCATATAGAGAAAGACTTTTTCAGCTAGTTAAAGAATGTCAAGTCCAGAAAGCAACTAAAAGAATCCACCTAGATTCATGAGGAAAGTGTGCAGAGAGATAAGGACTGACAGTTAGGGGAGGCTGTGGGCCTATGGGCCAAGTTTAAAAAGACTACTATGGATTGGCTACAATCTCTAGCAAGTAAATCCATATTCCATGACATTGTATTTCAGGAATTCCTGAAAGCTAACTTAAGTTCCAGACAATCTTAGGAATCTCTAAAGAAACCTAGGGTTACAATCTTTCATTCTCTAGAATACACACACACACACACACACACACACACACACACACATTTGCCATACCACTCAGAAAATAAGCAGGTTTGTGAGTTCAACTTAAGACCAATAAATAATAAAAAGTAAAACTTTTACCAGTGTCTATTGTACCCTTCAGATTCCATTTTTCTCCTTCAGGTTCTCACACTAAGGAGACAATATGATGATTGCACATGCAAGTCTGATTTACTAGTAAAAGGGAATGAACTTATTTACTTTTACTGAGTTGAGGAAAAGGACAGCAGAGGGTGTGGGAGAAAGATATATCTATGTATGTAAGCAGGATGCTTTTGTCAATTGTACTGTGCATTTCTGCTGGTTTATGGAAAGAAGCAGTTAATGCTTTAATGTTTTGTCTCCTTTTTTTCAATTGTTTGTACTTTTTCTCTTAATTTCTTATACATTTCTTTTTTCTTTCAATTACATATATATATATATATCTGGCAATATGAATAACTTGCTGGAAGATAACACTATATATTACAACAAATACTGTGAAATTCATATTACTTTAAGTGAAAATCTGTATCACTTCTAATTTTTTGTTTTAATTCTAATTTTTACTCTCTTTAAAAAATAAAAAAAGTAAAACCGAAATGCCTATTGCACATAAGGTGACCAACTCAATCCAGACTGTCCAGAACACTTCTGGGTTTACTACAAAGTCCTCTGTCCCAGAAATACTCTTAGTCTTGAGAAAACTGGGGAGGCTGATCACTCTAACATAAACCTCAGAGTCAGGGGCTTAGGAGTAAAGATGTATATAAAAATGCATTCTGTCTCAGGTATATAAAATCAGCCTTGAGAGAAACAACATGACAGCACATAAAATGGGACAAGCAATATAGTAACAGATAACTAGCAGTTAAATTTTCTTCATATGATATTATGCTCAAAAGAAAAAGTAAAAACTGCGAATAATAGTGGCTAATATTCACTGAATATTTTTCACATGCTGAGAAACACCCTAAAGACATTTACATATCACCTTTAATCCTCACAATAACTAATTCTTTTCATCCTCCTATGAAATTGATACAGTCATCAGACTCATTTTACAGGAGAAAAAACTAAGGCACAAAGAATTTCCAGTCAGATCACATGACTGGAAAATGAGAGAATCAGGATTAAAATCTTGTCAAGTGCAAAACAGTATATTCCCCGACCTCTAACCAGAGGACAGGCACAGGACTGAGGAGAGGTAAGACTTAGCAGAGAAGCAATAGTGGAACAAGACAATTCTTGTACCTAGGCTACTCTATGTTTATTCCACACCACACCCGTTACTATGTTGCATGATACTATCTCCATGCTTTCCCCCTAACAGTCTCTGAGCTCCTTAAAGCAGGGTTCCATGTCTTTCATCTTCGGCACCCTGTTCAGGTCACATAGCTGGTGTACAACAGGCACTTGCCATATGTTTGTTGAATGAACAAGGTCAGAAGTGGGAATAAGCATAGCATGATTCATAAATTGAGTCAACCAGACTAAAATTGGACAGTGGCAGAAAATCAGGCTGAACAAAGCAGGGAAGAACTGAATGACAGATTTTACACAAAGAAAGAGACAATACAAACAGGTGGGAGGGCAACAGGTTCGGCACTAAAAGCTGAACTTTCTGTTCTATCTGTGCCTAGCCTCCTCCCAAATACTACCAGAAAGAAGTTCTAAAAACTTGATCCAGTCACAACTTGCTGCTACTTAAAACTGTTCAGTGGTTTCCCATGCATTTGGGGTAAAACACTCTAGCAGCTTCCCCTTCGGCTTCAACTCACAGTGTCCTCCCTGGAATTAGCCTGTTAAAACTGCTTGCCTTTTGCAGACACCCATACAGTGACTTGTCAATGTGCCTTTGCACACGCTCTTCTTTCTGCATGAGAGGCCTGTTTCTTCACTTTCTACTTGATCAAATCTTACTCACCTTTTAAGACTCAGCCTGGGCATTACTTCCTCTAGGAAATCTGTTCTTCTACCATCTCTGCCTCAAGCCTGGCTTAAGCACCCTTCTTTGGACTTGCACAGTGATTCCTTCCTTGGTATTTGCCAAATTCTAATGCAATACTTGACTTTCATCTGCTGAGGGGCAGATAATGTCTGTCATCTCTTTGCCTTAGTGCCTAGCACCAAGCAAGTGTTTCATAAATATTTAGTTGATGAATTCATAAATTGTAGAGGACTACCTGAGCAGCTCTCCTTGAAAGAAGAGCAGTTGTACCCATTTTGGCTGAGCCTGACTCTATTTCCTTGTATTGATATGCACAGAGCTGGCTGGATTTCTCTTTATCTTTTCAGTCGGGGAAATAGCTCAGTAGAATAAATGCTTACCTGGCAAGCACAGCGTCCTGAGTTCAATCCCCAGTACTGGGAAAAAAATAAAATAAAACTCTTTATCCTTTTAACTGGCCTTAAGCAATGTGTATTGCTCTAACCCAAGGAGCTGTATGTGTGTTTCTTTGATAACCTACACCTGCCGCACTTTAATGTGAGCTGCGTCAAGACAGGACTAAGAGCCAGTGCTCTGTGCTGCCGGCTGGGATTGAGCCTTGAGATAGAGGCTATGACTTCCTGGGGCTTGAAAGATGACATCAGAGCCAAAGAACCAGACCCCCAAAAC